CACAAAAAATATTATCATTCAGTACTTTTATTGGATACAGGAAACATGACTGAAATGGTAGCAGCATGATAAAGATATATTGGTGGACAGTCTAGGATGCATGTTCAAATGCCAATTCAAAGATGTAAGCAAGTTGGACAACACTGCTGCCTACTTATGCTACTTTTGCTGACACCACGAGTGTTATTGCATAAACAACATGCACGGATGAATCAGTATCAGATTATTCAGTCTATCTCAACACAATCCCAAAACACAAACTTGGAGTCATGCTCTAACCACAAGTTAGACACAATCCATCCAGCCTCAAGTCACGTGACGAGCTTTTTGTCACCGAAGAGACCTTGTATAGTCATGTGCATCGCAAATCAGTCACATGTCAAATCACAAGTCAGTCACAAATCAAATCACAAGTCAGTCACAAGTCAAATCACAAGTCAGTCACAAGTCAAATCACAAGTCAGTCACAAGTCAATCACAAGTCAGTCACAATTTAGTCACAAGTCAAATCGCAAGTCAGTCACAAGTGACAGGGATGAACAATGATGAATTTTCTGGACTCTTATAATTGACTTCCATTCTGAGAATTGAGAGGATTTGGCCACAGTTACTCTATCAAAGTGTGACAGAGGAATTTCTTTGCCAGTGTTTAGCTGGTGACGTCACTTTGTGGCCGACTTGCGATTTGACTTGCGAGAAACTGTGAAGATCTATACTCTATCAAAGTGTCACAGGAAGTCCTTTTACCAGCGTTCATGACCTGTTACTTGTGATCTCATGTTTGACCGATTTGTGAGTTGACTTTATGAGAAATTCCTAAGACTTGGATACATCTCTGTCAAAGGAATTCTCCTGTCGTTGTTCATCACCCGTTTTTGCGATCTCGTTTGTCAGCAGACTTGTGAGTGACATGTGGTGGACAACTCTGAAAAATATAGTTCAGAAAATGTAACAAAATAATTCCTTTGACATTGTCCATTGCCTGTTAGCCTACTTGTGTTGTGATCTTAGCTGTGATCGGACTTGTGAGTGACATGTAGTTGACCCGACGTGCAACTCTGAAGGATATAATTCACACCGCACGACTTCGGAGGATAGTGTTGCGCGAGGGGCTCACTTCGCGCGTCCGCTCCATGGCGCGCTTCTCGCCGAGGGCTGACGGCGTCACTCAAACCAGGCCAGGCACAAAACACTTGATCTTCCCGGTCAAATCCTGTCAGTTAGCTCGTAATGCATCGGCCCCTGTGGAGATATACATACTTTACTTTGCACGAAAGATACTTTTAGCGGTAGTATTACAGGGGAAGATACTCAGTGACAGTGAGACAGTGACAGTTTGTCACGTTCGGGAGCCTCAGGTCAAAAACGGAGTATTAATAAAAAGAAGAATGGTACACCTATATGTTCTATTTATCCCTCCCAGCCCCTCAACATGATTTTCTAAAATACGTCGAACTATCAGATATGAAAGAGATCTTTTTGGAAGGTGGGGGTTAACGCATACTTCAAGTGTATACGTTCGAATGTAACCATTCAATTGAGGGAAATATTATGAAACGTTCAAGGCATATTAAACCACGATTCGCTAGTAAAAAGTAAAGTCTGTCACGGGCCAATGTGGCCCATCAGGCCAGCGTTTATCTCCGGTTTCGGTAGCATGAAACGACTGAGAATATTTCCATTCCCCATGGACGGATACTAGTCCATCGCAGGTTACTCCTCAGCTAAAAGGACGCGACACGATGCGACACACTCCCACGTCGGCAGAATTATGCTCCCAGTATATGCAGATACTGGTTTATAGCTATGATACTGGTACAACACCAAAAGTGATACGTAACGGTATCCAAGTTTACCACAAAAAATAGGTCTAATCCTATAACCACTGTCGCATCTTTCATATACCCTTGCATATTATGTATCTTATGGATGCAATATCCCAGAGATATCCGACGGTTACCTCTTTAAAACCTCAATTTTCTCCCCCGATGCCAGAAGCGACAACACGGTCCGGGCCGGGAGAGTTGGAACATTAACGCCGTAGCGCAGCCTACATTTACCATACCACTACGTTCCGATCACAGACTGACATATCCAGGTCCCTCATCCATTACCAACGTGTGGCCATCACTTTCCCCAAATTGACGAAGTGTTTGCACTTTGTATGTTCGAGTGGTATATGGAGTAAGTGGTTGGCACAGCATAAACCAATGACACAGATCGTAAAGCAATCAACATTTATTACTTCGAATAGAAAAAAAACAACCGAGTGAGGTATAATGATTCAGTTGCCCCATACACAATACATTACATAGGTATTATTTTGAAACAGAAATGGCGGGGTAATGTTAAGCGGTTCAGTAAAAGTATATAAATATTATAAGACATGGGTGCTTTTGCGTATACGTGTATATGTATTGACGAAGTGTTTGCACTTCGTATGTTCGAGTGGTATATGGAGTATGGAGTGGTATATGGGTATATGGAGTAAGTGGTTGGCACAACATAAACCATTGACACCAATGACACAAATCGTAAAGCAATCATCATTTATTACTTCGAATAGAAAAAAAACCGAGTGAGGGTATAATGATCCAAGATTGCCCCATACAGTACACAATACATTACATAGATATATCATTTTGAAACAGACTGGCCGGGTAATGTTAAGCGGTTCAGTAAAAGTATATAAATATTCGGGGTGCTATTGCAAATACATGTACATGTATATGCAATCTAGAATTTTTATATTTGGTTCAAATAAACATGAAGAACACGAGGAAAAGCGCTCCGTGGACCCAAAAAAAAAAAATAGTCCGCGTTCCTCAATGTGCACGCATGGGCTACTAACAGTAAATTCCGGGGACTAGAATGCGCAAAATGCACGCGGTGAGATCGAGAAAATAAACCAACAGTCAAGACTCGTTCACGTCTCACTCGCCCGAAATGAAAGACAGAAAATTCTTTCTAATTCCATCTTCCCTTTATATCCCCATCCAAGGCTTCTATTTTTTTCGAGGCGAAGACAGCAAGTGCTTTATTTTGAAAGGCAAAGCAGGTTGCTCGGCGAGCGATTGAAGAAAAAAACCGCGGGAGCAAAATGGGTCAATGCCTATTGGATAAACATTTCTGGGATTTGCCGAATGGTTTTGTGACAGTGGAACTACAGAGTTGAGAGGGCTGCTAATACTCCACGATGGTCAAGGATGTATATTACAGGTACCGATGCCCTATATTTGCGGAATCCATACGGTAAGCCGACTGCCTTAAAGTAGGTCTACCTGAAAAAGCTGGAGCAGGCTGCAGGATTCGACTGCGCTCTTTATTTCAAATCGAGCACGACGACCCAATTATCAGTTTCCGCCTGTATTCCGATTGTTTGGATGGTTTTCATTTTTGTGGAGTTATCTGAACTGAGTAAAGACCAAACAAAATAACGGTCGATTGAACAAAATGTGGGCGGGGCCTATTATAGGCCTTAAGCGTTGCGGTGTGTCAAGAGGGTGTTCTTTGTTATTTAAATCTTGTAACAATGAATGCTCAAAAGGCTTACTCGCGCCTATCGAGGCGATACAAAAGCATTGCCCTCTGACTCCGCCTTCACGCATAATCTATTGGACGGTTTCCGTGGTACTGCCAGTGGGTCCAACTTTGCAGAAGGAACCTGGGGGCTCACTTTCTGAAGGGAGCACAGAGTGGCCTTTTTAACAGTAAAAAGCTATTTTTTGCCCTCTTCCAACATCTGAGCGGAGGGGGGGGGGGGATTATGATTCATACGTGTGACAAATTTAAAGTTCGCACGATTTATAAAACGCGTAGTAGAACATTGGATTCGTAATTCGCGGCTGCGGGACATTGGAGCCTTTCAATGCAATTTTCCTGAAGTTATTTTTCGCGTCAGAACGCTCATATGCCCTTCTGCCGGGCACCCGACGGCGTCTTAGCAACTGTGTCAGCGGGCACGGATTTTTACGCGTGTTAGCAATCGGGGGAGGCTGGAGAATATACTCATACACAAGCCCATTCAAATTACAAGTGTATCTGATTATAATGGAATACTCAATGATAAAGACTACAGAACACATAGTCCAGTAACGATAGACATGGAACGCCCGTCCTTTGAAAGTTGCGCACCAATTTCTTAGTGAGCTGGAGATTTTCTGGGTCCGTCGCTTTTGATTATACACAAAAATGCCCTGGTTGTTTTTTCCCCCATGAATTTCTAGTCCATACTGCAGAGAGCTAGAGAGCTTAGAATTAAGTCATCTACCCGTGTATAATTCAGGGTTATATAGCCACCTCGACCATATTCATCGGTTCTCTTCCCTCCCCCCCCCCCCGATTCTGGGTCAGATTGTAGAAGCCCAGATAGAGATCTGATAGAGTATATCTGACCCAGATATCTCTTACTTATGGGACTGTGCACAGTTGAATGGCGCATTGCAAATACTATCCATGACTAGAACGAACACCATCATTATGCCCTCAGCAATTATCAATAGAGAGTGAAAGACTTTTTTTCACTGACCAAAGCGTAATGAGGAAATTGAGATTTTATGGGAATTTTTTCGAGAGGAAAAGACACAAACACAAAGGTACAAGAGAATGTCGTGTGCAAGCTATTAATTTTGGTTCACACAACGGCGGATCAAGGGCGGGGGGGGGGGGGGGGGGGGGGGGGCAACGGCCCCCCAAAACGAACCCAATTTTTTGTTTTAAGTGACGTCGCAATAAAGGCAGGCACTGCATACACCATCATCTTTTCCTTAAAAAAATGGTTAAAGTGATCAAAAATTGCTTCAGATTGCACCACAAAGCATCTTGAAATTCACAAAGAAAATTCGGGGTCCTTAAGCGAGCCCCGAAGCCCACGCCCCACTTTTTGGCGGAACCAATTATTTTTTTTGGTCCCCCCCCCCAAAAAAATAAATTGTGTTCTGGATCCGCCCTTGGGTTCACATGACTAGGTATGCGGATGAAATAATCGACATACATAGCCATCCAGTTAACCTCTTTATTCATATGTCTTTATTATCAAACAACAAAATAATGTTAATATCAAGTCCAAGTTCATTACAACCTTATAAATATCTATTAGTGGGAAGGTATGGACGGAAATTGCCTTATTTTCTCGAATACAACACAAAAAGAGCTTTACACAGGACATTAAAAATTCTTACCACAGTATAAAAACTCATGCACATAACAGCCTTTTTTTATATTTGGAATCTATTAGTGGGAAGGTATGGACGGAAATTGCCTTATTTTCTCGAATACAACACAAAAACAGCTTTACACAGGGCATTAAAAATTCTTACCACCGGATAAAAACTCAAAGAGCATAAAAGCCTTATTTATATTTGGATTTTTTTTTTCTGCAACCGTGGCTGATTAAAAATCTACCGTGTTTTCACAAAAGGCACTTGCTCAAGTAGCTTAGAATTAACACTAGGGTCCAATGATGTGTCATTCCGAGTTTGACATTGCAAAACCCACTGAATTCATGGGTATGTTAATATTGTTGCCTTCATGACGGTCAAAATTTGCAATTCACAATAAAAACTTGTTGAAGTCGGAATAACATCGATATCACTTCCCCTGGCGTACACTTCAAAAGATATTGCAATAGTGATGTCTTTGGGAATCAACGTAATTAACCACCGTTTTATTTGGGCTGATGGCAATTTATAATTTTAATTGTGAGCATTATTATAAGATTGCGTGGATTGGTGACTATATGCATTGCACTGTACATCAGGCCTCGCGGCCTTGCCCCCGCTGTAATGTTCAGCCCTGATGGACTCTGTAGCTAGGTCTCATTCCCCATTCCAACCACTAGGGAATGTGTGCTTGCTTTAAATTTTTCCCCCGCAACAAAAGCAGCTTACGCCGATTCCCCGGCAAAAAAGCCCGACTTGTTTATGCATGCCTATTTTGATATCCCCACGGAACGCACTAAATGACAGTTACCGTTGTGTAACAAGCGCCCGTGCGCACCACTGAATCAGGGCACAGTGAGGGTTAACTATTGTGCTCCCAGCCAAGAGTAAGTCAACATGGGCTGGCTCGGGGACTGAGTGCCCCGCGCAAGTCACAAATTAACTCCAGCGTATGTGAATTGAAGACGGTGCTTTTAGTTCGGTGTGGATCTCCTGTCGGTAGTTGATTAGGTGTGGAACGGGGAAATCAGAGGTTGATTACTGGGCCAGGATAGTGCAGAACTATGGGCCACTAGTATCTGGCCGGTGTTTTGCTAACATCCCACGAACTTGTGGGGTCACGGCGCGACCGCCAACCACTGCCAGTCATCTGCAAAAAACTGGCAGCGCACAGTCCGCTTGCTTTGAATCGATGCGGCAATGTTGCAGTGGGCTCCTGTTGTAGAACGTGGCCAGCACGAACAAGTATCAAGGCAGTATACGGTACAGTGAATGCAATAACTTAGAAGGAAAAAAAGCAAAAGTGTTAATGATTCATGGAACATCACGATGGCTCGTTGCCTGTTGCCTGATGGATTGGTTTCAGGTGGTGTGTGATTGCTTTAGTTGATGCATGGGACATAAATCAAGTTAGTTACAGATATAAGTCCATTGGTTACTATTTAGTAAGATCGTCTGTAATGCGTGAGGGCACTGAACAAAAAGGAACCCTGCCATATGCAGACTATGAAATGGATTGATTTTTAATTGACAGGTCACTTGAAGTGCTCCTTTCCTTGTTAATCTTTTTTCACTCTCTTGTATTAAAAAAATGTGATGTTGACTTTTATATTTCAAGGAACTTAATATAATAATCATAGGCCTGAAATAAATTTTTAAAATTGTTAACGAATGAGGAAAAATGTCAACTGTGTTTTTAACAAACATCAAATTTTTTAATCAAAAATGTGAAGTGCGGGGAAAAATATTATGACTGTCTCGTCTTTCCCGGCTTAGAGTACGGTTCCAGGAATTAGCCTCGGGCTAAAGAGTTCAACAATTCTATGTCGGTGAAGGCAATTACGCAAAACAGCCGGCATCCATTGTGTAAGTCCAAGCCTCATTAGGGACGGAATAATAATATTCATAATTAGAAGACGGGAGGATGAGGTTTGGTGTTGGACGGCGTGTGAAGTTAGGCGGTGACCTTTCCCGTGCCCGGCTGTTTCAAGTTGAAGCCCCCTCCCGTGAAGCGAGGACCGTCTGTCCGTTGCGGCTGGATGGGGGCTGTGCCTGCCTGCGCCACGGCCCTCTCTCGCTCTCTGGAAACAAAACAAACCAAGAAAAAGAAATAGGATGAGACAATTCTTATCGTGAAGTACCGTTGTCATTTGAAACGGTAGTTTGCAGAGTAGTAGTGACGTGGCAAGTCAAACCACAAGTCATGTCACAAGGAACAGGGGATGAACACTGACAAGGGATTGTCTCAGTTCATCCGAAGAGCTTGAGACTTGATTTGAGGCTTGTGAGGGCATGACTACGACACTTGCCATCCTCCAGGTTGCAGGCTCGAGTCCAGCCTGTGGGGCTGCAGTGCTTGTGTCTTTGGACAAGACAGTTCCTTCGTTCCTTCCCTCCGCCCACCCCTCCCGACACCCTTCCACATGAAAAATATTACAATGCACACTGAATCATTCAATAACAAATGGGTATATCAAATCCTCCATCACAAGTATGGATGGGAAATTTGGACAAGACATTTGGATAAGCGACAGCAAATAAGGGAAACAATAGTGGTTATGTTTCTTATTGCAGTACACATTAAACAACTGTTTTGGTGCTTTTTTGTTTTAATATTTCTCAGCTACAGTAAGACATTAGGTTTGTTTCCTTTAAATTTCAACCAGACCTTTGAAAAAGGATGAGTCAACAACCTAGAACATAACATCCTCGGGGATTTCAGAATGATGTGCCCCTTTAACACACTTTTTATTCAAAAAGGACAAATAACGTAGACATCATTTTCCCAAGTGTCTTTTTCATAAAGGGGATGCTGAAAAACCAGAAGAATGAGGGTTGTCCCCGTGATTGCGGCCGTGCACTTTTGAGCATCAACGGGGAAAACAGGAGAAGCCAATGTGGGCTTAGGCACAGAGCAAGACACACTTAGAGTAATCACTTGGACCGTTTGCAATGGACTGTACTCTTTCAAGCAATAAACAGAATGCACAGACTGCATCCGCCGAGCAAATAAACACTACCCGGGGCAAAACCCTTGGGATCCCATTTGTTGACTTGGCACAGGCGAGTCAACGGACTAATCTTCCGGGATCGCCCCGTAAAGTAAGCCCACACTGCCCCCCGTATACTGAAAAGACGTAAGTCGCGGGCAATTCAATTTGTATCTTAATGGCAATCGGGACGATTAAATGTTGTGCTGGAAGGGTTGATCTGGATTTTTTTTAGGGAGGGGGGGGGGGATACTGTTTTGTTGAGCAGATTGCAAGCTTTGCGAAAAAAACAATTCGTCTGTGGCTCCTGGCTTGAGCGACAACACAAGGTGAACAATCTAATTCAGAAAGTATGTCAGGGATTGCGCCCAGAGATCTCGCTGTGCTTTCACAAAAGCCCTGCGTATGAGACAACATCTCAGGACATGCTTGCCTTGTTTTTGTATTTTTTAAATTGAGCTCACGAGGCTGTAGCCATGGGAACGTGGCCAGAACCCTCCTGCGACAAATTACATGAACTCCTGGGAATGGTGGATTTGACAAGCAAAACAGATCGTTATTTCAAAGTGGTAACAAAAATGGACACACGGACTGTAACATGAACAAAATGGTTCTCCTACAAAGAGGGTCGGTTCAAGCAAACAGCTCCAAATATCATAGTCTGAAAATTCTATAAAACCAAAGCGGCAGGTATTTTTTTGCCCATGACGTTTTGTAAAAATCAAATACTGCAGCTGGATACTAACGTCATTTGCTTTTAGAAGTATAAGACCGCGGGGAAAAAGGAGGGCGAGACAGTAGGGAATAGAGTCTGTTTTGATGGGAAATTTGATTTTCAATTTCACACTGAACTGCGGCCTACCTTCCTTGCTGCTCTTTGCGTTTCTGGGCGTAGTATTTCTTCTTGACTTCCTGCAGCTCACGAGCCAGTCTCTCTATCTCATACTTGTATTCCTGGACTTGGGATTCGTACATGTTCAGCTCTGATGCCATACCCTACATTGTAAGAGAAAGGAGAAGTATTAATTTCTTTGCATGAATGGGTCTATTGAGTTCAAAGCAAGGGAAGTTTTGTGACTGCAGAAAGCAACACTATGGGTAGATTACGGGGGTAAAATGGAGGATGGTTCTCCCCCCCCCCCCCCCATACACACACACAAAAGGGCAGGGTACCATGTACCAGATCAATCTGCGTTCACACCTCTGAGCTATTAACACCCCCCCCCCCTTTGTGGTTTGTTGCTCTAACAATAGTAGTAGTAAAGTCTGTCACCAGCCAATGTGGCCCATCAGGCCGGCGTTTATCTCCGGTTTCAGTGGCATGAAACAATCGAGAATGTTTCTACTCCCCCCTGGATGGGATGTTAGTCCATCGCAGGTTACTCCCCAGCTATGCCAGTACCCATTTATACTCCTGGGTGGAGAGAGGCAAGTGGGACGAAGTGGCTTGCCCAAGAACACAACAAATGACCAGCAGCTGGATTCGAACCCTCTGATCATGAGTCACAAACCGTAGCCACAATGCCACACACCCCACCAAACAGTACATTTACTGTAACTTCAATGTCATGGAAAGACAAACTTACAATTTTCATCTTTCTTTCAATAGTTACCCCTGTGAAGGGAACTTCTACATTATAGAATTTCTATGGACTTCAAACACAAACACCAAATTAGCAGGTTTTTTTTCCCATTCCGTTTGGTTAAGCTTGAATACTATAATCACAAAGAGAGTGAGAGAGTTGAGGGAGACCATGTACTGTGCTCAGCTTGGTGCATGACATAGAGCGTGGATTCTTTGAGGAGTTTAAAGCTTAGTCCTGAGACGGCGTTGAGTTATCCAGAATTTTCCAAGCATTTTTTTTTCATTTCATAATCATTTGCACGTAAAGACAGAATTATCATTGATGCACATCTTTGTGTAACATACACCTGCAGCATTGATAATGAAAAAAAAGAAGAAAATGTTGAAAGAGAGAAAATGTTGAAAGAGAGAAACGTTAAAAATAGGTGTTTTTTTTATTTCCTGAGCAACAGCAGGTGACTGAGGAGAATGAAGAAATGAGAGACTGGTGCCATATGGATTATGCACACACGCTCGTCGCTTAAGTCCTGATATCCTGTTGGTGCAAGTAATTTTGGAATAAGTACCGGCAAATCACTGCCGTGGCAATCATCGCTCATGGACAACAACATGAAAAACACCTGCCTTCTAACGTCAATGTTTGAATAAGGAACGTCAGTATCAAAAGCTCACTTGTCTGGTGACTTTGTTGAGAACTTCAGCCGCAATGGCATCGAACAAAGCTGATTGGTTGAAGCTTTTTTAAGGAACGTCAGTATCAAAAGCTCACTTGTCTGGTGACTTTGTTGAGAACTTCAGCCGCAATGGCATCCAACAAAGCTGATTGGTTGAAGCTTTGTGGATCAAAGCTGCTACTGCAACTCGCGAAGGAAAGTTTGAAGCTGGAAAATTGCCCGTTTGTAAAGAGTACGGACTAATTGTTCTGGGATTTTAAAATAGACAAAGCGGGCAGTTTATGCAAGATTACAACCCACACAATTTCTGGTGTGGGAATGAAGAACAAAGCTCGACTGGCTCAGTGTAATCACTGTACGTACAATGTAAATCCAATCTTTTTTTTTATATTTTTTATTATCTAACAATAAAATGCTGCAGGGGAAATGATGAAAAGAGATGCCCGTGTGCCATAACACAATTGCCAGACATCTCTCTCCCCAGGTTGAATAACCTGAAGCGAATCTGCAAAAAGGAAAATGTCACCGACTCCACAAGACCTCAAGTGCTTGAACGCTCGACGCCGGCGCACAAACTTGTTTTGGGGCGCCAAACTCGAGTGCGTATCGAATACGAGGGGCCCCGCACTAGCAAGTGCCATTTGAACCCTGGCATCGCACTCAGGAGTCGGCCCAACAAAATCACATTACAGGGTGAAGTTGCCGACTGCGCACCAATCTGCCCCTCTCATGTAACTCGTTAAGTTTCAGGGTCGGCGGAGAATCAGACGCCTCCCCTTTTCGCGCCATGTAAATACTTTAGTTTGGACTTAAGTCTTAGGGAGGGAGGGAGGGTCGCACTTCGCTTGATTTGTGAAGGGGGGGGGTTGACTTAAGGTTGCTGGGGTGTATATCCGACTCACCTACATGTAATAGCAAACAATCCCAGAAAGCATATACATGTAAATATCTAATAAAGAATCCTAATTGAATCAGCAAGATGTGATCTCATTAGTCGGTCTTCATCCAACACAATAAATCTTGTGCCCAATCGAATTACCGACTGTGTGGAATTATCGTTTACATCTCTGGTCTGTATCAAATTTGATTAAAGAAATTAGATTATGTCAGCAGGGCTTGGGTATGTTTAATAATATCAATACATACATCTTTTTTAACTGAACAAGAAAAACATAAAGACAATTACACAGTGGACTGTGATCACTGTGATTACATACATTTCACTTTCATTTAGGACTACTGACGGCACAATGCACAATTCATGAACATCCCGGTGTGTACATCAACATGTATGCCCTTCATCATGGCTCACTCGTATTGTATTTTGTGAATGCCAGTCAAGTAAAAATGTAATCATACAGAAAAGGGGAAAAATACACAAATAGAGAAAAATGTACATTTAGTTCAACACTGCCTCCTCTTCCCCTACAAAAAATGGCATTGCTAGATCCAGGCATGCAACTGGGAAATCACAAAAAAGAAGAAATTCAAATTTTTTCCAGACTTTGTACAGTGTTTTTCTATTGTCAATGGCACACATGGGAAGTAAAAAAAGAGGAAATCAGCTGATCCGAGGAAAGTTGAATCTGCGTTATCCTCGCTTGTATTCTCCACATGCAAATTAGATGGTTTCAGAAAATGTCTGTTGGTGTGATGAACAGGGGTAATATTGACAAAATGTGCCAAAATGGCAGCGTCAAGGTGTATTATCTTCAGGGAATACAATGAGGTAAAATACTTTAATGGCCTGATGAGCAGGGGTAATAATAAGCTGAGCACCAATACTGGCAGATAGGGACTTATTGAATACACATCCGCCAACCCCCCCTCCCCCAACCCAACTGGACATATCAACCACACAAATGTAATAAAGACTACACAGCATGCACAGAGAGAAAGACAGGTGATCTCCATCAGGATGGAATTAGAGCAAGTCAAGCCCACAAGGCAAGGGACCGGGGGCCCTGGGTACCAGCCAAGCCATATTGGTAACCTGACATACGGGCAGTCATCCCCCAGCAACAGATGCAGTCCGGCGTGTCAACTACTCTGACAGACGTCCAGTTTCAATTTATTGCGAGTCAACTGTCCTAGTTGTCATTATCTCCGGCCGGCCCTGTCACTGAAGCCACCAGCATGGCACCGTCGGCTTTCTTTCACTGTCCTATTTTTTTCCACCTCCCTTTTTTTCAAAATAAACAAAAAGCTCATCTGCTGGTCTAGCTGTTTTGGTTTTCCCTCATACATCTTCCTGATGGAAGCTGGTGCTGAATCAATAAAGGGACGGGTAGATGAACTCCCCTCCCCTTTCATCATCTTCTAAACTCCCACTTTTGATCAAACAAGGCTCGATCTGCGTCTGTTTTGTGTGAGCAAGCAGCAAAATGGACGGACGAGTAGCGAGGAATCGACTGCTTCAAGCAGAACGGGGAGTTAATCTCCTTCATTAAAATTTTTTTTTTTTTTGTGGAGCGGGATAATTGGCGCCCCGAATCAGAAAAGCCTGTCTTTCCAGTAACTGGTAGCAACGGTGAAGTAGCATCGTTGCAAGGACGTGACAACCATTGCCAATAATGCCCACCACCATGGCAGTGGTTAAGAGACTCTCTGTCAACCTTTAATTTGATTCACGAGATTCTGGTTTTTGATTCTTTCGGATATCTGGACAGACCCTAGTGCTTCTTGAAAAAAAAAAAAAAAAACCTTTAGGAAAGATTTTCTAATTTACGGCACTATTCAAGTGTATTGGTTTTTGAGATAAAGATTCTGAAATTCAAGTCGGGTTAGCAGTATAGCAATATTTAAATGTCTGCCTGGATAATCTACCGGTAACAACGCAGGGCATGCCCAGTAAAGCTGGTCCCAGAGTGCACAAAATTCTATTCTATTAGTTATCCCACAAGAGCAAGTGGAACACAGAATAATGTAGTGCGTCTGTGTCCCACATACCATGAGGCCAAGGGCTGAGTGGTATGTGGGACACAGACGCACAACATTTTCCGTGTTCCACGAGCGCGAGCGTGATAACGAATTTATCTTCAAGCAAACTTGATGCGCAGTAAAGATGAAATACGCATGCTGTAGGCCTACACAAACTTTTCCTATTACACATGCATGTTTGTACGGAATGGCGCACGCATGTATCTTGGAATGAGCGCAATACGCGGAGTACGGTATGGACTGTGACTGTGCTACATAGATATACATGTATGTAGCATGGCTTATTGCCATGGATCAACCAATCAGAATCGAGGATTCAAGTTTACTTGAAGATAAATGGCTATATTCTCTGGAAGTCTTTTCATATATACATCTGGCCTAAACACTACCAAACACTACAATGTATTTGGTCTACGGACTTTGACTTGTTGTACTTCTTGTAGAATGTAGCCACCCTATTTCGGTCTCAATATATATGCTTGGCCTTGGGTGCAGTGCGCCCCTCGGGTGTTGAAAATGGCATATCCCACATCCCAGCAGTCAATAATTGTTAAATATAAGACGGGTGCAATATTGTTATCGCGAGTACAACATATTCTTGTATCCCCGAAAAGAAGCCATCCAATATTATTATCAAATTGGCATTAATTAAAACACCAATAGAAAAACACCGGATATCCAAACTCATAAACTGCAACCAGTCTGACTCCGAGTCCTTTTAAATCTCAATCGATTACATTTCTCGTTTGACTACCACATCACCATCGATATTGAGCCAGCTCTCAACAAGCTATTAC